TAAGACAGCACAGGCCAAAGGAGAAGAAGCATAACTAAAATAAAATAAATAATGTCACTATTTAGAATGATTTATCTTACCAATTATATAGACCAGCAATACAAAATCGATAAAGTATCCAAGCAAACATGTCACAAGACCACCGACAAGTAATAGAACTGTTAGCTGTCAAGAAAGGAGGACACTAAGATATTGTACAGCTGAGTGTCGGCCTACCATGTATGGCTGCTCCCTGTTCCAGTGTCTCATTGCCAGTTGAACATTGTCCATCCACATTAGAGATATTGCTATCCAAAGACAAACAACTTCAAATTCAGCCACCTCACCTACCCTGAGAAATAAAGAGAGAGAGAATGAACGTATACTAATGTGATAGATTATATTATTCAAACTCACTCAAGCTTTTTGGTGTTCTTCATAACTGCTTTCTCAAAAGACACGTAACTTGTCTGCTCTCTCTTCCTCCTCAGCCTCAATCTCAGTCTAGAGGAGTCCTGACCTGGTACGGTCTTATCTCTAGTTGCTATGACCCAGAAACCATCAATCAGTAGGACCCAAAACAGCAAACGTCCCAGGAATGAGAAGCAATTGTCATTAAGATAATAAAGGTTCCTAAAAATTGAAATTTAAAACAGTCCCCCCTTCTTTTCCTTACTGACCAGAAGACAAAATGTATAGCAGCATAAAGACACGCGCTCAGGAATACTTTCCTCAATAGCACGGCCTCTTGCAGTAGTTTAATTCCCTCTTTTATAGGATAGAGTCGGCTGCAGGTTTTCCTATACAAATTCTCCAGTTTTCTCTGGGAGAACTCTTGGGGAGACAACGAGTTAGCTGCCATTTTGTACTTAAGGAGGAAACCGGATGTGTATTAATTAATTAATATCATTCCATGCATCACATCCGGTTTAGAAAAAAAATGTAGTTTCAGATTTTGAGTATAATAATCAATCAATGTTTCTAATATTTATAATAAATCTGATCTATTATGATTGGGGGATATTGTATTATCTGTTATGCAGTTTTTTTCATTTTAATAATGATAATTGTTCTCAATTATATTTCTGTTTCTAATTCGTCTTCGTCATTAGGCAAACCTCCTGCTACTGCTGCAGCTGCTAAACTCTCAGTTATAGGGCCAAGATCACTGTATCTTGGTGGACGGAGACTGCCATTATCATTATCCTAAGAAATTGAATAAAAGTACTGTTTCAACTACTCTTTTCATCTTACCTTTGCTTCATCATCTTTACTTGCTTTTCTGCTGGAAGGAGCTGCAAAGGACTCTACAATCACAAAAATAACGCAATCACTTAACACATCATACGATATCCACACTTACCTAGTGGTGGTATGACTCTAGCACCAAGACTCCCATCAGTTTCCTGGATCTCCCTCCAACGCTTCCGAAGCTCTTCGTTCTTCTTTCTCTTGAAGTATCCATGACCAACAAATGTGGACTAAGCAACAAAAGAAAGCAATGCAAACATGAGTATTATATAATACTTCTACTCACAATAGAAGCAGCAATGAGTATAAGGAGTGCAACCAATAGACCGACTATGACAGAGAGTGCAAGTATCCACGGATCTACACAGTCCACAATTACTTCTTGCACGCCTAACTGCACGTTGATAAAATTCTAAAAAAAGTTTAATAAAAATAAAACAATTTGTGCAAAAATAAATAAAATTAGCTTACTCTGGTTTGAGTGGTGCTTCCATTGGTCAGTATTTCAGGATATTCTGTTGCACTCTCAACTCTAGTAAACACACTGATGTTCTTATCTTCACGAACGGATGGACTCTGTGAATTAAAAGTAATGGACTCTCTCTTTTCTCCTTTCATCTTCTTACCCATAGTGTTGCAAACAATGATATTTGGACAGGTGTGGTCGCAGTTGTACTGTCAGAGGATTGAGCTGCAATGTATTCAATTGTACACTGTATTAGACCACAGCTGAT